TGGACTGACTCTGTTGGATGTTACTTCATGAAGAGCTGGATTCCAAAAGGAGCTAAATCCATATTTCATCAAAATTGGGTTTTTTGTCTTAAAATAATAATTTCCTACATGGGAATAAAATGCACTATATCACATTTTAATTTTTTTACCAGGAAGTATGACAAATTCGAGGTACATATCATGATTCATTCCAAAAGGAGCTAAATCCAAATAGGTTTTATTCTACAAGGAGCCCTTACTACTTTGGGGGTCCACTGGATCTAGGTTCTGGAATTCCCTTGAACCAAGAATAGCGAAATCGGTCAATATTTATGTATTTAAGCGCAAACTGAAGTAACTTTATTTGAGTCGATATCGACTAGAATCATAGTTATGATCAATATTTAAGAATCTTTTTGTGCATAATTCTACTCCCGTTTCTCACATCTATTCATGTGTCTGTCTTGTTTAGTTTTTGTCTGTGTTTTAGTCCTGTTGCTCGTAGTTTTTTTCCTGTCTCTCTAGTTAATAGTCATTTTAATAGTCAGTAGATTTTATTATACTTATTTATGTTTATATTTTCTCAGTTATTTAGTTAGTGTAGTTTGTAAGCATTTAAATGTATGCATTATTCTTATCCGACGAGTTTGTTCTTTTAGGATATACTCATAAGCTGCTCATGAGGGACCTTAAATCCACAAGCCTTAATGCTTTCAACCAAGGTCATCTCATTGTTCTGTAACGCCGTATTCTATTAAATTGTTATATTCATGTCATATTTGTAATGTGTCTTATAAAAGAAAGATAAATAAAACTTGAACTTGAGCTTAATCCAATTGACCAATAAAAGCGCAGTATAGAACACACACTTCTATTCTGGCTTGGCTTTGTTTCCAGGCACGATATAAACACACATGCATATGTGTGTAATTGGGTTTTTACAGACGTGTATTAATACTATATGATTATTTCGTCTGGGGACTGACTTTTAACATCACCATCTGAAAGACGTGACTCAATTTTGAACCTGCGTTCTCGGCTGAATCAGTTTGTAACTTCCATTGTTAATAGCTGGATTACACACACACGACTTTCTGCTCAAAAGATTTCATAATTCTGCTTTTGATCGTCATTGCTCCGAAAATAATACAGAAGCTAAGATCAAATTGTGTAAACAAAATGAATCCCTGAAAAATGCACCTCAAATGCATCATTATGTACTTCAGAAAACGAAGAAACATCTAAGCAATTTCAGACTGTTTTCACCCATAGACTGCAGTGTTTTATACTCAAGTGTATCCCATTATGGCTTTATAAACAGTGGAATTTAGTAATAGATATCTTGATAACGTAATTTTTTTTTAAACCGTTATAATCATGGCTGTTTATTTGTCCTTCTGATCATCCTCAGAGATATCAAAATCTAAAAATGTATTCAGTCAAATCTACACAAATTTACAAAATCTCTTTATGTTATTTATATTCTAATGTTACTCATTTTTAAATGGATATTGAGCTTTCCTTACTTGATTGTAGAAAAAAAGATCGATAGTATTCAATACATCAGGTGCATCATCAATATCAATCAATCCGTAATGACTAGTAACTGGGTTTCATTGGCTTTGTATCTACGTGCTGTATTTAAGTGTTGTTTTAATTTATGTTGAATTGTTATTTCAGTTCATTTTTATCTGAAGTTTAACAGAACCAGTTCAACCTTCCATCTACATTACATTTACCTTCCTTCGGTACGCAACTCTACGCAGATCCGGTGTGAAAGGGGCTTTATGCTTTATAACAAATGATTTCCAGGGGCCTAGTAATGGAATGTGAATTCAAAACACATCACATAAAATATTGAGCAAACAATCGAACAAAAAGCACTTCAAGGCTTGGTGCACTTGTCAGTTGACAATAGGGGACTACATGTTCAAGACAACTCAACAAATGACTAGCAGAGGTGTTTACTTAACCAAAAATAGCTTGCTGGTACTTCTGCTTTCCAGCGGTGTAATGTAACTCGATTGCGGGTTTTCCCCGTCACGTTTTTTCAGCTTGTAATCAGGCAACTATTTCCATATTCATTATTCATTATTAGCAAGATTCCTTTATGTTAACCTTTTTAGGAACACTTAATTCACCTTTTTGTTGCTTTAACTTGTGTATTTCTAGTGTGTTAGCTTGATTTGATTTATTTTACCAACAGCAATACATGTAATAAATACAGGAAGAAAAACTATTGGGTGGTAAAAGGGGCCAGATAATAGCACATGTGCTAGTCGAGCCTAATCCCTTAAACAGCTAAACAAAGTATTTTGGTACAATTCAGTTTAAAGAACGTAACAAAACAAAAAATAATAAATTTACTTTTACAATCGATACTTTAAAAAACAAGAATCAGTACTCAACAATGTCTCACAGTATACAAACAAATAATGTAAAATATGAATTATGAATTGTGTACACTTGATATTTCATTCATGAGTTGCTCAACAAATCCATTCCAAAATTAACTGCCCACAAAATACAATGACAATTGACCTTGTGTCGTTCTTAATTTTGGAAGATGTAATTGTCCACCTTCTTTTTGTCTTGTGGAATAGCTATGTTCTATAATGTCACAGTACTCTATCAAAATATGAGGCAAATTGTCATTGACTAGATCAAACATGAAAGTATAAATGGATAAATCATGTAAATTATACACATTAAAGATTCGCAATCTTTTAAATAATGGATCTGAAGGAGTTCTCCATTCACTAAATGTTATGGTAGTGTATCGCTGTTGCAGCCAACATCAAATTATGTAGAACTTTGCAGAAATTATGAATATGTCACTCATGTCCTATCTGTGAAATGTAAACGTCAGCAGTGTCCGAGTATTCAACTTATGTAAGGAAACCCGTTTATTTTCTAGACTTCACCATCAGACATTATTGAGTAAGTGACTGACTTCTTTTTTGTTGTTGTAATAACATACATTGTACATAAAATGAGCTGTAAAAGGTACGTGGACAATATTTGTCTACATGAATAACCCACTTCTTGCAATGGCCAAAATTAAACTATAGAAATCTTTGCGCAGCAAAAACATGTACGACCATTAAGTACAAGGGTCTGAAAATCAGACAAATAAAAGGACTGCAATCCTTAAATTCAGTTAGTCAAATAACGGTAGTTATTTTCTCACAAAAAGACATTTTCAAGCCCATTTGTTTTGGGGGAAGCTTTATCTTTCACATGTCTTTGAAATTTAACATTTTCATTTTTTGGCCTGCAAATGGGACATAGCACTTTTAATGCATGTATGAACATCTCATTAATTCACATTGCTAGTATATCTCTGTTATTTTCATTAATACAATATCAAATATTGTAAAAAAAAATATTTGAAACCACACATATACATGCTATAGCTCAAAATAGAATAGTACTTAAATTATAATACAAGTGTGACAAACTTTTCTACCCTAATTCACAACATATCTAAGAACTACTAGTTCCTGGATATACATGTTGCACAGCAAACATATACACATGGCTTTGATACTTATGGCATCTTGTGTTGTCTTACATGTTTGTTTTTATTTTCCAATTTATTTATTCTTTCCTGACCTGGAATTTTGTGATTTGGGGGGCTTTTGTTTTAGAAGTTAATATCATGGTAAGGTTTAAATATGTGGAAGTATAAGAAAATATTATCAATGTAACTTTTTGTTATTTCATGGAACTTAAAAGCGTATTTTCATAGGACCATTCCTAGAATTTAGAAAGAATAGGAGATAGGAAAGGTAAACTTGTCTTTATTTGGCTCGATTACTGGATATGAGTTTTTCCCTTTTTACCATTGTATTTCTGTAGTGAATGTATAAACACATTGGATGAATGTGATATTTGTTCTTTGATGCATTTTTCGCTACATTTTTTCATAGGACCGTCGATTATTATTTAATTGTTTTTGTTGTTGTTGTTGTTGTGGGGGGGGGATATTCCCGTTCCTGACTTATGAGGTGAATTAAATGTTAGTACTTCGTATTCATTAAACGGTTAGTAAATGTTTTATGTTAATTATTTACTTAGCTATTTTTTGATTTGTTGTCATCATTGGGGCAAGAAGGCAGATATTATGTTTAAAAAAACACAAAGAGATGGAAAGAAGGAAAGGAACCAACTGCGAAGTCTCTGGCACGGACGAAAAAGTTCCAACGTTATACAATGACATACAAATCGGCAACGTAATCGCCAAACAATGCTCGACAAAGTGCGCAAACTCACATCAAATTCTGGTAAAAATATAATATTCAATGACTAAAAATCCCCCACATAAACAGACATTTAAGTGTTCAAAAGGCTCAAATGAAAGGAACGAAGGAGAAGTGTAGATAAAGCACGGCTTCCAAAGATGCTAAAATCACTTCGCATTCAGAGCCTATCCACAACATACACAGAGAATAGCATATGTAATAAACTCGCTCACGTCGAACAAAACTCACAATAATAGCGGAAACTCATATTAATATGTCCAGCAGGATGAAGAAAAAAAATCACAAAGTTTTCGAATAAAGTGAAAGAAAATAGAGACAGCGAACTTAAAAGAAGAAATATAAGGACAAAAATACCGGGTCAGATGCCGAATCAATCTTACTGCATTACACAGAACGCACGCGAGCAGGCGGCCTTGATGCCGGGCCTTGGTGCTGGGCAGAATTTGCGGGCAACATTAGCTCCACACAACAAATATTTGATTACAAATAACATAAATTACACATGTTTTGGTAGACAGCCACATCCATGCACACTGCACATTCAGCCAAGCAACACCCAAAGTGCGAACCTTCTGAATATTTAATTGTCAGAAGACCAACGAGACCGACGTAGTTTCGGTTTTTTCTTAGGCCCTGTTTGCCATAGAACATTTTTTCCGAACGATTTATTTAATTAGCAATAAAGTTGTATAGATATTTCATTTCTGAAATTGATTTCAAGCAATCCTTTCATTATGAAGCTTTGCTATCACTTACCAGGTGGCACACAGATTAGGATGAATAATCCCACAGCTAGTGCTATTTTAACCGCCATGTCGAGCAATATGTTCATAGAGCAACTAATGGGGACTTTTAGATTTGCGTGGACTGATACGTGTGACGTCCATTCATGGCAGTGCATTAACAGTGACAATGATATTTCCATGGTACATTATTTTTCAGCATATGCCAGACAGCCACTGGCACGGATCCAGGAACTTGGGAAAGGGAGGGGGGCACAATATGACAGAAGCGCTGCGTACGTCAGCGCCGCGTTCTGCTGAGATCGAGCGGACAGGGGGGGGGGGGGGGGCGGGGCGGGGGGGGGGGGGGGGGGGGGTGTGTCTGAGAGAAAAAAATGAAGAAATTTTCAATTTCAATTTCAATTTTCCAACTCAATCTTCACTATTTGGTGTATACTTTTTGTCAACAGGATTAGCTAAATTGACTGCTGGCGTACGGCCGTGGATGACTCACTCTCCCGACACCTACAATCAACGTCTTATGAGCTGTGTTTTAGTGAGCACATTTTTTTTTTTTTGATCCTCAAAAAAATTTCAATTTGCACCCCCCCCCCCCCTTGAGCGCCAGGGGGGGGGGGCCAACCCCTGGATCCGCCACTGGATGAATTACAGTACTAAGGCATAAGATTATTAATAACAAGAGTACAGTCAGAGGAAAATGACCCAAAGCTACCACCAAGTTCTACACTGAAGAGGAAGGCCTAATATCAAGGAGGAATATCTGACAGTGGTAATAAAAGGGATAGATGGACATGTAGCGAAATAGAATCTTAATCAGAAAATTAACTCATTGGTATTCAAGGTGATACGTGGGAATAAAACATCTTTATATATTGTTATCATCTTGAAATAGACATGTATGTACGGACATTAATCACTTTTAGAACAAGATGAAAAGTAACATGATTTTATAGGCGTAGACATTCCAAGAAATCATACAAAAATAAGGGATCACATAGTTTTCAAATTTCATTAAATTCTGTCAAAGTTACTAATTTACAATAATAAATTAAGATCAAAATCATTAAATCATTAAAAGCATTGTTTAACAATGCAACCTCTGAGATGCATGGTCCTACGTGCTATCAGCGTCTTTGATATGGTGTAATATTGATGACCTAAACAAAATTGCGCTTCAAAATGATCATGAAGTGCCACAAAAAGATGAAAATCTTTGAGTGACCGGTTTTATCATACTCATTTTCCCCAATAGGCTTTAGTGTCATAAAAACCGTTGGGAAAACAGTTTTTGACATTTCGAATTCCAATCATAAATATCTTGATAACAAGACGGGCGATTGGCTTGTTAACGTCATGGGATTCCTGACTGACCTAAAGGTGTGTAACTATTATTGCAGCATGAGCTAAATCCAGGATTTAGTTTAGAATCTGAAACAAAGATACCCAATCCCTTTAACGGGAGCGGTGTCATTGTGTAGAGCCCCACTCTATTGGCAACATTATCTATCGTAAGTATTGTTGTTTACCTGACTTATCTGCTAAAAAAAACACATCTTTAACCGCCATGGCAGTATGAATCCTCACCGTTTATCATTGATATATTGATTTTTAATAAAAATATAGTTCAAAGATTACTAACGCAGAAAGATTTTGGTCCTTGTTGAACGTGATTGATAAGAGACAGATAGACTAATCGTGACGAGTCTGGGCAATGAATAAAATATGTAGTATACCAAACGGCGATATTTGTTTAGTTTTATCAGGGATATGTGAGTTTAACTCACATAGCCCTGGTTTTATGTAGGCCAAGACTACAATTCCAGTTTATTTTTCTCGCGTCATGTAATCGAGGAATCATTTGAAGTTTGAAGATTGAAGTTCGAATGTACAATTGAACATACATATAAAGTAAATACAATAAATGTTAACAATTGGATTATTCATATCCCTGGTGGATCCGATGTTGTTTCATAACTCAAGAATGAAATCTGGATTGGTTGAATTATGGCCTTTGTTAACTGTTGTTAGCTGTATATACGAATTATTTGGTAATTAGAGCTAACAAATAGGTAACAAATGCCAATACGAGGTTAGAACTCGAGTTTATCTTTCATCATTGCACATTGAATGCAATCAACAAAGGTGTACAGTAAGAGTGTACGACCGACATTTTAAGGTAATGTGCCGTATCGCAAAACATAATGGTGGTGCTCACTCAAAATGACTCAATCTATATTGCTGTTTTCAAAACTGCAGAATTGATAAAGCCGATCGCGGGAGGCATTTACCATTCAACAAAATACGGTTCTTTGTAAAGCTTCGTGCGTCACCTATTAAAATATGCGAACAGGACCTTTACAAGTCATGATTCGAAAATGATTTCTTTAGGCGAATCATTTTCGAATCATGACTTGTAAAGGGAATGAAAAAAGAGTCACGTACATGTACCCCTCCAGTTGAATGGTAGAAGAAAAAGGAGAACAAGAAAGAGAGAGAGGGAGAGAAGTAGAATGGAGCATGAGTATATACATGTAAATGCAGTTCACTCAGGGGCGTCGCTAGACCTTTTTCAGCGGGGGGGGGGGGGGGTGTAGAGACCACCGATTACCGACAAAACTAGCCACCAATTACCGACGAATACATTAATGCCAATATCCCAGTGTCTTCAAATTTAACCCTATAAACTCGGAGCTGGGGGCTAATGTTTGTAGGGACTATCTATACCTGCGCATGCGCACATGGTCACTTTGCTTGCCTTCATAAATATACGGTTTATTTCAACAAGACTAGTCAGCATCGTAGCTGAATAAACAAATGTGCAACCGATGTGTGCAACTATATGGTGTGGCGTGATCGGAAAGAGCGCTGCGTTTGTACGCAAATCTCCAGGGTTCGAAGTCCAATGGGCGATTGTTAAATCCCCCTTTTTTTTCTTTTGCTGATATTATGGTAAGGTTGACAATGACAATAAGCGAGTTCGTAATTAGGATTTGCGCATGTGCAGATAAAGGTCATTCGTTCCCAAATTGTAAAACCATTGAGACGAATACTCGTATCGTGCCCATGAAAGTTATGTATTTAGTATTCATTTTATGTACCGACATTACATTTATCTGATACACAGGTGGAAGCATTCTTCTCAAAAGGGCAAACAAAAGGTATTCATGAAGCACCTTCATCACTTCGACAGTGATTATTGTAAAATGCACAAGCGGGACGTATCCATAGTGTAAAAGATCTGTGGATTTGTGGGGGTCATGCGTTCCGAAGCTATTTATGAACTTATTGGCAATGATCTTTAATGATTGCTGGTGAAAATTCGAGAAAATACAAATATTATAGCTGTAGTCTCTTCTTCTTCTTCTTCTGATTAAAGATAAAGTTGAGTTCTGGTCATGCGATTGCATTGTGAAAGAAACGGTGTGGAATCGATCAGAAAAGTTGATCATCTAGGATATAAATATTGGTGTCTACTGCAAGGTTCTGGAATCATCAAAAATGAGAGGAAATTTGGCCCAGTCTTGGTAAAGTTACAAGCACTGTACACAGAAATGTGTATATGGGACTACACGAACATGTGGCATAAAAATTTGTCCCGATTGTTATGCTGTTACATATATTTATAATATTAAAGGTGAAATTCAAAGAAGATCAAAAATGTCAACTAATGGATCATTAGAAACTGGTAAGCTAACAGATGGCCATCGTACAAGTTTTAGGTCAGCTACATATCGGGTAATTTATAAAAATACAAATACAACCACCTCCATAGCAGCTGGGATATACGAGAGATTCGCCGGAACAATAACGATGTTTTAATGACGTCACCATATGGACCAACACTGCCCAAGCAGACGACATCCCATAGAGAATGAACATAATTGCAAAGCTATTATTTCACAAATTATAATGAGTTTAGTATAATAAATGTAATGGCATGTCAAACCATTCAAACGGGGATATGACCCGATTCTGATAACTAAAATCTTTTGCTTGTAAATACACAGGATAGAGGTTAATTAACAATCAAAGAAACCAGACTTTCAAATTGAAAAACCCCCGGAATGATATTAAGGACGGCATTTGTTCCCTCTTGAAACGCCGAACATACCCCGGTGTGTGCAGCTGAATATACAATGGCGTCTTATTTTGTTCACAAGCGACAGATTCCTTTATTTTTGTATCGCTGCATTTGTCATCAAAATAAAACCATGCGCGGGGTTTAGAGTGAGGCAATATATTATACATTTAGCCTGGCGGTAGTGAAGTAAGAGAAAGAAATCAAGAGAAGATGAAAACACAGGCACTGAAAATGTGTGAGATGTCATGGGACATCGTCTGCTTGTGCAAGTCATTTTTTATTTCATTTCATTTATTTATTTAAACACGGAGGCCTACCATACAGTCCATACTATGATCTCACACATCTCAGCAGCGCTCGGAGAGCTCTTCAGGTGCTATATCGGGCTGTATTTAATCGTTTTGTAATTTATAATAATCATTACTTTGAATGTTTCCAAGCCTTGAATTTTGATAACCTTGTCGAATCAAAGTTTCAACTTTGCAATAATGAAAATAAAGTTAGTTTTTAAAATTAATGAATATATACTTTAAGGCATTTGAAGAGCCATGCTTGTCAGGAACATTTTGTATCTCATATTTGTCTACACTTGCATAATAACAATGATAACGCTCACAAATTTGGTTTCAACTCTTCCCAGAACTCATCCTTCTCTTTAAAGGTAATACAAAGTGGAAAATTTGAAAATTGAGTGGATAGTGATTCTTTACAATTTTGATATATTTGGATGCCCCTGTGGATATACTATAAGCGCTTGAGAATGTAGCCCCTAAAATACCTCTGCTTTCGAGAAAAATTGAATGTAACAATTTACCGGACTGTGCTCCCGGTAAATTTTGATGAATTTTAAATAGCGCCTACGGCCGTACAATGGTAGCTGCGACCAGTTGTAATATTTAATTTCCAAACGGGAATAGCTATTCGGTCGATTTTAGTATATAAACATTGTTTTATAGCTTAATTAATATCTTGACCTTGAGAGGGAGCTAT